ATAATGACGAAACCGACCTAGTAACCATGATTAACCAAAACACAGATAAGAAGTTTTACAAGAAAGGTCCCTGTTTTTACTGTAAGAAAAATGGTCACATCAAAAGAGAATGCAGGTTACTTCAACGGCACCTAAAAAGTGAAAAAGACAGAAACCAAAGAAAACCAGAGTACGTAAAGGACGTGACGACCAGAGAACCTGAGAACCAGGGAAACGCACAGTAGTTGACGTCGGCGGCCAAACGTCAACTACAAAACAGAAAAGGCCACATGTTTTTGGGATAAAGAACTCAAATACTCGCAGTACCAACTTATTAACAATTGATGTGCTTGTTAACAATGTAAAAATTAATTGTGTCATTGACACGGGTTCAGTTATAACAGTTATCCACCCAAAGAAATATTACGAGATAGAAAGATGTGTGAGACCTAAATTATATCCAAGCCGTAGTAACTTACAAATGGCAAACGGTGATTTAGTTGTACCAGAAGGTCAGGCTGAACTTCAAATTGGTATTGATGGTGAAGTTACGGAACATAAAGTGGTCGTCGCTGACGTTGAGTCACATATGATTTTAGGTCTTGATTTTCTGAAACAGCATAATTGTCAATTGAATTTGGGTGAAGGAACTCTTACATTCGGAAAGAATAAATTACCATGTGACCTCAAGACTGAACACAATCCTGTGTTCAACATTTCCGTACAAGAAGCTGTACAACCTGATAATGGTGACCGACGACCATGTGAACCTTGTGACAAGAAGGAGACAAACGACGCTGAGAAACATACCAGAGACTGTACCGTTGGTGAAGCAAAGAAGAATCCACCTAGGGCAGCCAGATCTACAGGAAAACCGGGTCAGTATTTAGTTAGGAAATCACTGGAACAAGTGGACATCGACATCCTTGGTCCTTTACCATGGACCAAGAAGGGTAACAAGGACGTTGTTACCAGTTCAGATTATTGCACCCGATGGATACAAGCAACCAAGAACCAGAAACGAAAGTATGGCACAAAGTCAAACCAGATTCAGTACACCCCTGGACAATGTGTGTGGATTGCGTCAAAGTCAAGGACCAAAGGAAGATGTCCTAAACTGAACGTTCATTGGAATGGGCCTTACACCGTGTTACGTGCTGTGTCCGATTCGGTATTCAAAGTGAGAAAGTCTGCAGCAGAGAAACCAAAATATGTGCATCATAACCAGATGAAGCTGTTTCGTGGTGAGGCAGATGACATTATATCCGTGTAACGCGTATCTCGAAAGACTTTACCAGTGGACTTGTATTAGTCATTGATAAAATACCCCGAAACGAGGACGTTTCGACTTAAGAAGGGGGTAATGTTACGTTTTACAAAGTGTACCTGTGAAATTCGGGTTAACTCTTGTTTACAAGTTTGGAATATATGGAACTTGAACCCGATGTTTATAAACTCCGTAAATAATTGTCAATGAACAGTTAACGAAAGAAATTAACAATAATCGATTTAATGACTTTATTAATTTAACATGTATAATTTAATGACAATTTTGTGTATTTTGTACGTTTTATATGGGTACAACGTTATTTATTTTGTAGGTAAGTTTGATGGTTAAAACCCGCTAACTTATAGTATTGATTGCATTGATTGTGACGTAATAGGTATCTGATTGTCTCTTACGTCATCATAACAACTTTTGTCTATATAAACCAGCTGTTTTGTGTGTAGACTTCAGTCGGCTGTGGGGAGCGACTCGGAGCACACAGCCTTCCCTGGTAAGGGAAAAGTGACCTAAGTCACTTTGGGGAACGACTCCGTATACTTCGGTTATAAGACGGTACCAAGTCTATGTATACGAAACCATTAAGGGAACCAAGTTATTAGGGACGTCCTGGATTGACCATCGGTTGGTCACCTTTTTGTTAACCAAATAACGTTGTACCAACCAAGTTACAGTGTACCAATTTTGTGTGTTTATGAGTGGACCATTTGATCATCTTAATAAATGTTATAAACTTTAAACAAGTGTTATTCCTAACAAACATTATTTAATGTGACTAAAAATTGGTCATCACGTCAACCAAAGAAGTAACCAAAAGTTGGTCATTACGTCAACTAAATAAGTGACCAAAAGTTGGTCATTACGTCAACCAAAGAAGTGACCAAAAGTTGGTCATTACGTCAACCAAAGAAGTGACCAAAAGTTGGTCATTACGTCAACCAAAGAAGTGACCAAAAGTTGGTCATAACGTCAACCAAACAAGTGACCAAAAGTTGGTAATTCCGTTAATCAATTAAGTGACCAAAAGTTGGTAATTCCATTAAACCAATTAAGTGACCAAAAACTGGTCATTAACCATTACATAAACTGTGACCAACGGAACCATCAAATCTCGACCAAGTGACCAGAAAACTAATAGCGGCCCACGAGTTTATTACACGATACCCTCGGTCTCGTTACAATATATATATATATATATATATATATATATATATATATATATATATATATATATATATATATAAGCACATTTTACAACAACTCTTAAACTAACATAACTGCCCAAAGTAAAGAAATATTAATATAGAAAGCACAAAGAAATTCACTTTTACATGGATACCCACTTCCGCCCCAGCCCGGGGTTGAAATCTCGACCTTCGGAATCTGTCTCCTAGCAGTGCAGGAACAGCGCGCTAGACCGCTCGGCTATCTAGGCAAGTCAAAAAACTTGCTTTCGATGCCGATGGAATTCTCGCGGCGCTGCCCTACACTACACGGTCATTGAGAATAGAAGTGAGATACAGTTATTTGGACATTAGTTTTTAACAGAGGATTATTACCAATACATGTTGTAATGAAATTAATTATTATTTATAAAGCACATTTTACAACAACTCTTAAACTAACATAACTGCCCAAAGTGAAGAAATATTAATATAGAAAGCACAAAGAAATTCACTTTTACATGGATACCCACTTCCGCCCCAGCCCGGGGTTGAACTCTCGACCTTCGGAATCTGTCTCCTAGCAGTGCAGGAACAGCGCGCTAGACCGCTCGGCTATCTAGGCAAGTCAAAAAACTTGCTTTCGATGCCGATGGAATTCTCGCGGCGCTGCCCTACACTACACGGTCATTGAGAATAGAAGTGAGATACAGTTATTTGGACATTAGTTTTTAACAGAGGATTGTTACCAATACATGTTGTAATGAAATTAATTATTATTTATAAAGCACATTTTACAACAACTCTTAAACTAACATAACTGCCCAAAGTGAAGAAATATTAATATAGAAAGCACAAAGAAATTCACTTTTACATGGATACCCACTTCCGCCCCAGCCCGGGGTTGAACTCTCGACCTTCGGAATCTGTCTCCTAGCAGTGCAGGAACAGCGCGCTAGACCGCTCGGCTATCTAGGCAAGTCAAAAAACTTGCTTTCGATGCCGATGGAATTCTCGCGGCGCTGCCCTACACTACACGGTCATTGAGAATAGAAGTGAGATACAGTTATTTGGACATTAGTTTTTAACAGAGGATTGTTACCAATACATGTTGTAATGAAATTAATTATTATTTATAAAGCACATTTTACAACAACTGTTGTTGTTGTAGGTGTTGTAAAGCTGCTAGGAAACAGATTCCGAAGGTCGAGAGTTCAACCCCGGGCTGGGGCGGAAGTGGGTATCCATGTAAAAGTGAATTTCTTTGTGCTTTCTATATATATATATATATATATATATATATATATATATATATATATATATATATATATATATATATATATATATATATATATACACTAAAAATGACCAACGACACGAACAATAAAAATTGTCAAATTTTCGGGACGCCCTGTCCCTTCCTCAGGACAAAGAAAAAAGTTAAAAAGTCATAAGAACAAAGGAAAAAGAGAAACAAAAACAACTAGCACTACTACTAAACTACTAAACACTAGATATTTACATACATAATTACATGTTGAGTTGGAAATTTTAAAGAACACTAATAAAGAAAGAAATTCGGACCGCTATGAAATGCGTCCAGTCTATTGGGTATACTCGGGTGAAGTGCGATTTACATAATTGAACGAATTAATTATGCTAATTAATTACAACAATCAGTAAATCGTACATTATTTCATTCTCTCAAAATGGCGTAACTTTACTTAATAAAGAATAATGAAAGAAAAATCATGTAGTGGGGATATTTAATCATATGAATTGTGATCTATGATGATGATTCTAAGGACTCGATCTCACTCTTCAATTGTCCTAACTTGTGGATATCCCAAGAAAGACAGAGTGACATCAATTGTTTAGAACATCTCCTTGTAATAACGTCCCAGCGTTCCTGAAAGCGTTTGGAGATTGGCCCTATGTTAAGCGTAACGTTTATCTTGAAACCTTTTGGTATAATGTCACACTCCAAGTAGGTCTGTTAATTTGAGACCTGTTGCTCGGTTTTTATTGATTTTTGGTGTTCTTTCATCAGAATTTTGAATGTTGGGTTATCTTTAATAGACATATTTGAAAAGAAATTACAATTGCCAAAATGATAAGACTTTGTTTTCTTTTTCTTTAGTAGAATCATAGAATCCTATCCCCAAAAATGGTTTATTAAATGTGAATATTTTCATGTAGTTAAGTTAAATTCTCACATGTTACATATGAAATAATGATAAATACAAAAAAGGATATTTATACCACCATATATTCCAACTGAAGTCTTTAACACTACACTTTAAACATTACACAGAACAACAACAGGATTAATTATCACATTTCAGCAGTTTTTCCGGTCGATTAAGAAAGGTAGTAAATTAACGTTTGTTTTGAATTGCATTTCATGCATGCTTAATTGATACCTTTTTGTTTATTGATTTGTAAGTTTACTCGAGGAAACCCAGAACAAAGAAAGAGCAAACGTTCAAGTAAAATTTAACTTACTTTAAAAAAAACAGCTCTATCCATTTCTTACAATTTGAGCGCTTTGATATGCTTTTACTTAATCTTTGAATGAATTTAAAGTTATTTAATAGCTATGCCCAAAATATCCCATAGGGGCACACTATATAAATCAGTAAAATTGAGGCGCAGTATAACCCTAAAAGAACAAACATTTTCCCGTAGCTTCAAAAATAGGTAACTTTTCAGTTTTTCAGGTAAAAATATTTCATCGATCATAAACAATGGTCTAGTTTGTGACCTAAGCGCAGCATGGTCAGATGCGTAATAGTCCAAGGTGTACGTGAGGTGCATCGTTTAAAGCTTATTTTTAAAATTCTTACAAGAGGAATTTTATGACATTTGAACAATTTGTATATCGATGTTTACTACGCACATATATGTTAAGCGTGATTTTATGGCATATTGATTGTTTCTTACCTGTTTGTTTATATTTTCAGGTCTATAAATTGTTATTTAGAGGGAATGATGAGTACGTGGTATTTATTCTTCCTTCTCTGTTTACTATGCAGTGTCTAACTTTGGGTTTTTTCAACCGGGGTGTTATTTACATTGCGCGAACGTAGAGGTAAGTAATTATATCATCATGATCATGTGTACTTTTTCTTTGCAATGAAATAATTTTCAATGCAAATTTTTATTTAATTCTTTCTCCTTCATATCGAAACCTTAAGCATAAGCGATCTCCACTTTATGATTTTCAAACTAATACCGAGGAACATTAACTGGCAAAATTGGAAATATACAGCTTACGTCATTTCTATCTGTTACAATCAAAACATTCAGTGATAGACAATGAAATTGGCGGGTACAATTCGACGCGGACGTTTGGAAAACATGGGATTGAAATTGCAGATCGAAATTCATTTTCAATCTACCTCGGCTACGCTAGAAGGCACATTATTTAAGGAATGAAGCTATTTTCAACTTATGTTATACGATATGACATAACTTGGGGCAGTTTACGCTTTATAAACCGCGAAGCGGTTTATAAAAAAAGCGTAAACTGCCCCAAGTTATATTATATCGTATAACATAAGTTGAAATAAGCTTGATTCCTTATAATTTAATTTCAGTGTAGACAATGAGACAATTTTTCCTCCGGAGAAATGGTTTCAAATATAGCATAATTTTAAAGTAACATTAAGCGGAGTCATACTTTTTGACGTAACTCATTGTGACGTAGGTAAGTTATGTTATCCAAAATATTATATGTTCCTCTGAATGATTCAGCCAATGAAATTGCTTGATACAAGTGAAATTAAATTATTACTGATTGACCCAGAAGACAAATAATTTTAATTTTGGTACAGTTTGAATTTTTTTGTCCAGTGTTTTAAATGAATAAATATTTAAGGGACAAATATTTAATTTTTGTTGTGTAAATATATGTATATCTTTGTGTTGGTGGTGGTAGTGGTGGGGAGGGGGAGGGGGCGATTTTCAAATAAAGTTGTCCGACAGTTTTCAGTGAGAATAAGTATAAAACTCAAGCGCTCTTATAATCCTAGAAATAAAATATATTTTCATGTTAAGCCATGACCTGACTCGACAATTTTTTACCCCCCCCCCCTTTCTAGAATCAAATATCTCCTGAAAAATATATTGTCTTGTATGATCTTTAGCGTTCTTAAAATTATAAGCTAAAACTCATATTAATGTGAACCTCAAACAGTATGCATTTGGGAGTTAAAATATAGTTGATTTTTGGATCGTACATTCACTCTTTGCTTTGAAAACAGCTCAGGTGGATTGAAAATGAATTTTGATCTGCAATTTCAATCCCATGTTTTCCAAACGTCCGGGTCGAATTGTACCCGCTCATTTCGTTGTCTATCACTGAATGTTTTGATTGTAACAGATAGAAACGACGTAAGCTGTATATTTCAAATATTGCCAGTTAATGTTCCGCGGTCTTAGATAGCTCGAGAGAGAGAGAGAGAGAGACTCAATAGCATAATGCAAATAAGTTAGTTTTAAAAATATATCAAATATGAAATATTTTTGTCACAATTAAAGAGTTACTTCTCTTTACTTATGGCCTTCATCATCTTCAGTAACTCAAATAAGTCATCTTTAAGGATATCCGATCCTCAGTCAGGAAGGATAACTCCAAAAATTGATATTTAATTTAATATTATTTTTTTTCATGCAACAATTTTCATATTATTCATCTTTATAAGATTCAAGGTTGTTGGAAGTCTTAGAAAAGGTTTTATGAAAGATGGCATTTGTACCCTATAAAAGGGAAAAAATTACACTTTTAGAGAAATAAGATTTTCTTGAATCCAGCTTAGATACCAATGCTTATCAGCATGATATGAATATAAGTTATGTCAGTGTTATTTATTAACCTATTTACATTATGCCTCTGATTGGTATATGTTTCTCTTTTCAAGCCTTTATTAAGTGGTAACTAACTCGGGTTTACTTGGTTATCAATGACAACATGAGGAAAAAACTATACAGCGCTCCAAGGTAAGTTATCATCTGCATGAATGGTGATGAAATGATACATAGGAAGATAACGAACAGTATTCCAGATCAAAAGTCTATAAAACAATGCAAAATAGCAGAGCAAGCACGGACTTCCTAAACATCGGAGGTAGAATTAGATGCCATGGATGAGTGAGCATTCCCTGCCGACCGGTCACACCCGCCATGTGCTCCTTGCCATGATCGGGAAATAGCGAAAAAATCCGTCATCAATTCATTAGTATAATTAATGGACTAATACTTCTTATGAAAAACGTCAGTCAGCTTTTGACTCAATTGACTGAATGATATTCTCATTGACTCAAGGATATTCTCAAATTGTAAATTGTGTTCAATTGTTTATTATTTTTCTCATCATCTTTGGGGTTCTTGTACTAGTCTTTGAGAAAGACAGCTAGAATTAGGTTTTGTCCAATAAAATCTCAATGTATTTTGATACAAGATTTCAACAGTCTTAGAATAAGGTTTTAATGGTTTCTTTAACAGATATTACAGTGTACTACTCAAACTTTGAAAAAATATAAGTTGTTTAACCTTTTTTAAATCTCCAGAGGACAGAAAGAGGCATTTTTTCCAAAACTTGAATCTACATTAACTGAGGTTGTTTCTATATGAATACCGGTAATAATGGCTTGATAATTTTAAATATATTTTTAATGTATTCCTATATAAAAAATAATTGATCGGTCATGGTGGCCCTGCCCTTACTCAGGGGTTATGATTTTTACAAACTTGCAACTAAAGCACACGTTAATATTTCCATGTGTCTTTTAACTGAAGATGCTTTTATAAACTATGATAACCATGTCTTTGCTGTCTTGGAAGATATTTTAAGATTCTTTTCTATCTTGAATCTGCACTACATGATGATACTTCAATTTCAATATTAATATTCATGAATGATCTTCTTGAGATGGTTTATAGAAAACAAATTCCTCGCCACCATGATTTTTCCATTTTTGAGAAAAATATTATATATTTGCTATATGATAAACGTGATGACTTTAAATTTTCTATCGTCAACTTCCCTTACTTATGCAGAAATATACCTTCCTCACCTTCATACGGAGTATATATATCTCAGTTGATTCGATACGCAAGAACATGCTCTACGTATGAACAATTTTAAAACGAGGTAAATTATTGACAAGCAAGTTGACGAAACAAGAATATCCGCAGTCTCGTTTAAAGTCATCATTTCGTAAGTTCTATGGTCGATACAATGACCTTGTCAGCAAATACAATTTATCATTGAGTCAAATGCTGACTGACGTTTTTCATACCAATTGTTAGTTCATTATTTATACACTGAATTGACGAGGGATTTTTTCCGTTATTTCCTGATAAAGACAAGGAGCACATGGAGGATGTGACTGGTCGGCAGGGGGATGCTTGCTCCTCTATGACACCTGATCCCACCTCTGATGTTAAGGGGGTCCGTGTTTGCTCTGTTCTTATTTTGTATTGTTTTATGGACTTTGAGATTGAATACTGTTCGTTATCTCCATATCCTTCATTCTAGAGATTTTTCCTACATGTTCATATGTAAACTTCCCCTTTCTAACTCAGTGATTATTAATATGTTCTTTTCAAAGACGCCGTTATTTATTTCATTGCTCTTTAATCATCTTCCCTTGAGAGAGGGTTTGGATCTTTATTTGAACATACTTTAACTTCCTTCACACAAGAATTCACTCAGCAAATTTTGGTTGAAATTAATTTATTCCATGGATTCTGGAATCAAATCGAAAATGTCAAACTTGGTACAAAGCATCCTTGGGTAAAAGGGAATTTAAATTGTTAAAATAAAGGACCAAGTTCCCTCACAAGGGGAGATAATCAAGAAAAGACAAAAATAGGGAGGGGTCATTAAAAAATCTTCTTCTCAAGAAACCACTAAGTCAGAAAAGCTGAAACTTATATGGAAGCATCCTGGGGTAGTGTAGATTCTAAATTGTTCAAATCATGACCCCCGGGGGAAGGCCGGGGCCACAATGGGAAATCAAAGTTTTACATAGAAATATATAGGAAAAATCTTTGAAAATCTTCTTCTCAAGAACCACTGGGCCAGAAAAGCTGAAACGTATGTGCACATGGAAGGATCCTTGGGTAGTGTAGATTTCAAAATGTCTAAATTATGATCAGTGGGGTAGGGTGGGGATGCATTATTTATTTCAAGGAGGAAATCTAGTAAAGAACAGAATGTTCAAAGCTTCTCAGGTGAGCGTTGTGGCCCATGGCCTCTTGTTTTTAGTGCAATCAATCTTCAATAATTTTGGTCAAAAGATAAAATATCACCCCTTTAAATAACATTTTCATGGACACTGAAAGATTATTTGGATATCATACTCTTAGGGAAGCAGATAGTAAAACGAACTTGTTTAGAATGCAAGGAGGATTAATAATTTCAACAACACAAAACGTGTAAATGGAAAATACGGATCTCAAAATAAGAAGTAAATCAATACTGTGTTGTGGTGACTGAACCAAGCACAAACATACTTAAAGATTTTTTCTTGGTTTTAACAAATAGACACAGGGTTTGATCAAAGGTTAATAATTAAATATCTTTGAAACTTGTGATTATCCTCATTGAACTCTTTTTTATCATACAGTCTTTTTAAATTTATTGTAGAAATAGTTCATAATGGAGGATTATGCCTGGCAGTGCGACAAAAGTCTAGCTGAGTGCTTGAAACACGTGTTCAATAATGAATTATTCTGTGACGTCACACTTTATGTGGGCTCAAGCATGGAGGCAGTCCACGCCCATAAACTGGTTCTCTGTTCTCGTAGCCCGGTATTTTATGCCTCATTTGAAGGCCCACTAGCTGAAAAGGGACGATTTGTTATTACAGATATCGAAAAAAAAACCTTTCAGCAATTTCTTCAGTATGACAAAAATCAGTTTATTACATAGAATCCGTTAATTCATACGAGATTTTTGCATCCAAATGTATGTTTTAAATATATAAATATAAAAGAAAATGTTTGTTTTGTTCCTTTCAGATATATTTACACAGATGATGTCCAATTAACGTACAAAAATGTCACATCTATTCTTTATATTGCGCGGAAATATTGTGTTGATAAATTAACTAAAAGGTGTGAAATATTCATGGAAGATAAAATTGACATCGAAAATGTTTGTGGGATACTGGAAGAGGCCCATACCTATGGATTAATAAACTTAAAAACCAAATGTGTGAAATTTTTAGTAACGAACATAAAAGGGGTCCTTTTATCAGAATCCTTTGGAAACATTTGTAGAGGCTGTTTGGGGACAATTCTTAGCATTGAAACTTTTAACATTAAGGAAGAGCTGTTATTTGAACATGCTCTATATTGGGCAGAAGCTGAATGCTCGCGGAAAGGCTTAGCAATAACTGATAAAAACAAGAAAATTATTTTGGGAGATGTTATAAGGTCAATAAGCTTCCCTGCCATGGATTCTGATTATTTTGAGAAAAAGGTAGCCAGCTCAGAATTGCTTGATGCTGACGAGGTCATCGACGTGTTTTTATATAATTTTCGCAGAAATGACGGTGAAAAGGGACAATCTATGTTTGAGACAGCTTCAAGAAATTACAGACAAGTTTTGAGATTTTGTAAAACCCTTCGAGAAAGACAGGCTTCTGATGATAAAAATGAAATAGCATTTGAATGCAGTGTTCCAGCAACTCTTCATGGCGTGTGTGTCTATACCCCAAAGGAGGAGTACGAGACTCAGGTGGTCTCTGTGGACGTGTTCGATCATGAGAAAGCAAGCATAGCCAGTGTGGATACCCACGTGTTTCAGCACTCACGTGATAAGATACACGAAGTGTTCCTAAATAGACCAGTACGACTGGTTCCAAATAAACGATATACAATAACCACTAGTAATTCCTACTGGGTTAAATCTTTCTATGGGACAAGAGGAAGGCAGTGTGTTTCATTTAGAAACGGAACAGTGACCTTTTACAACTCGGCCTTATCTGAGTTGTAAGACTCGGATTCTGATTATGAATACTGGTTAAATACTTCAGTAGACAAAGGACAAATACCCGGAATTTTGTTGTCTTGAAGCTCAATGAAGGCAGAGTTATGAAACTTTAATAACCGTTTTTACATTGTCAACAATCTATATTCTGCATATCACAAAGATCTGATTATGCTGACAAAAACTATATAATTCCACAAATAAATATTAACTTTTTCAAAGATAAATCCTATATCAAACTGTTTGAAAATTAAAGAAACAAGTGTAATATAATTGACATTTTTCACCATCCGAGATCGTTTTCTTCAAATTTATTGTGCCTACTTGTAGGAGAAATTATTAATTTTTTTTTTTGTAAACAGCTATGTTTTTTTTTATATATATCTATATTCAGGTGTTAACCATCGTAGACATAGTTTACATATTTAAACTAATTTTAGCTTACTTATGATAAGGATATGGAGATAACGAACAGTATTAAATATCAAAGTCCATAAAACAATACAAAATAGAGCAAACACGGGCCTCCGAAACGTAAGAGGTGGGATAAGGTGCCATGGGGGAAGTAAGCATTCCCTGCTGACCGGTCACACCCGCAATGTGCTCCCTGTCATGATCGCTAAATAACGAAAAAATCCGTTGTCAATTCAAAGTATAATAATTCTGGAGGATGCAGTACAATTCCTATAGTTGTAGCAAGTGTCGATGATTAGAATTTAACGCACTTGTCGTTTCATGTACATTCTTATATTGACAGCCTCGAGAAAAATGTGTACTGGAAGCTCGATAGGGACTCAAAAATGAGAAGACAAACCATTAGAAGGATATTTCAGACACTTTACACAAGATCTTTCAATCTAAAGACACAGAGAAAAACATTGTTAATTTACATTTTGGCCCATTAAATCAAATGATAGTTTATCACAACAACAGCTTTATCTTTTTAACTCTTTAAAGTTATTTTTTTAAATATATAGTAGCTGACATCTTGCTATCTGGAACGTCTTTGTAGTTTTGAGGATTAGTTTTACTTTTCCTTTTTATTACTTTACAGTTGACATTTTGCTTATCGGAATGTATTGTTCTGTCCTGAATTGTGTTTTCCTGTCATCTCTACAAAGCCTTTTTTAGTTTCATCAAACGCAATAGATGCTTCAAATGAAATAGACCGTCCTGATTCTTTGTATTTTTTCAGGTAGGAGCCGCCATGCCCGACGCCTTTGTCTCTACAGTATCAGTCCCCTTTATATCTGTAATATATATCCTTGTCATATTTTTTGCTGCCGTGGCGCTTCTCTGCCACCTCTTCCAAACTGAACTTGCATCTTAAAGTAAAAAGAAATGGTTTTACCTGTATGGAGTTAACGTTTCCGTAGTAGATTAACTACGCACTCAATACAAAAGAACATGTTCTATGTACAAACAATAGGTATATTAAACGATGTTTTGGTTTAAGCTATTGATTTAAACATAATTTATTGATCACAATCAATGGGATTGAACACAAGTTATGCCAACTTAGATTGTCCTCTCCAACACAAATAAAATGAAATTATTGAGGCTAATGAAAAACAATTTAATGTTAGCAAGCATAGCAACAGTTTCTATTTAATTCCTGTCATATAAGCATAAGCTTTTATTTAACAACTGAAGTAGAAGAAAGGAATTACATACTATTTAAATATAAACAAAATAATTTTGTTTAAGTGGTTTTCGAAAACCTAATATGTATCTTTTTATTAATTTTCAATAAAAAAAAATACAAATCCTGCAGCTGTGCTTTCATTCGCTTTTCCTGAAAATACATTTGAGATTTAATAATTTTTCTTCTAAAATGAGAAAAGAACAGTGATCGATGTCGTAAAAAATACAAACATTACAACATATGAGGATGACAATATTTCGAACCCTTTATCTTTTGCCTAGTGGGAGTACCCCCTGTCATACTTCCTTGAGCCCTATGCATTGATGGGCAAATTAAGTACATAAACAAAAGAGTAACAATTGGTCAGAAAAAATAAGTCAAAATACTATGTAATTGATAATGTATGCAAACATATAATAATTATAATGTAACAGTTACACTTACCAGACATTATTGTATATTACAGGAACGACACAGAAACAAGGAGTGAGAAACGATTGTTAGAGTGTGTCTTTCGAGAAATGAGTATATTATTTACAGGAAAACCTTTTAAAAGCTTCACAAACAACAATATCCTTATTAGTAAAGATAATCTTCATATCTTTACACTTAGGCGAGAGAGACATGATACAGCGGGAAGTGAACAAACCGCACTTTGCACAATGTCCTGTAATGAAATTCGTTTATTTCAAAAGAAAACCCGATCTTAGATATGTTTGATTGAAAGATAAAGAGACTAATCACTATTTGATGTTAATGTGATTTCATCTTGAAATGTATTGTGACAAATAAAGAAAAAGAAACTAAATGTAGCAAATTTAGAATTATCAGACTTAAATGAAATCTTTTTTTTTTTTTATTTTTTTTTTTATTTCAACACTTTCACATGTACATATAAAATAATTTTCATCATTTGGTACACAATAACATCGGGTCTACACACAATATAGAGTTATGTTTGTAGAACATGTAGAATGTGAAAGGTGTTTTGAAAAAAAAGACAAAGAAAAGGGGGAGGGGTCAGCAAGAAAAAAAAAACCTTTCTTCTGTTACAAATAATACAAAAAAATAAAAAATTCACTCAAATAAATTATAGGATGTACATGTATATATAAGCTTGTATATGTATCTCTGTTACTTACAATGTATCACAAATATTTTGCCAATGCCTTTCATATTCTTCATATTTACAATTCTTCATCAATAAAAATTTTTCAATCAAAATTCTATCTGTGATCCTCTTTAATACAGCTTCAGCATCTATTCTTGGAACATTCTTATATTTACTGGCAAAAATAAATTGTTTTACAATAAGTTTTAAAAGGTTTTGAAATTTATAAACATTCATATTTTCATATTTACCAAATAGTATTGCTTGTTTATCAAAACAACAATGAATATTAAACTTATTTAAAATCCATTCTTCAATAGTACACCAGAGTTCTTTTACATGGAAACATTCAACAAATAAATGATCAATTGTTTCTGTGTCACTTCTGCAGAAACTACATGCTGGAGAATCGATCAATTTTAGTCTAAAAAGATAATAATTAGTTGGGATGATCTATGTAAGATTTGAAACTGTAGCCATTGAAGTTTAGATTCTTGAGTTATTTTAAAAGGAAGTTCGAATATTTTAGTCCAGTCTGCCTCATCGAAGATAAATCTATTTTCTCTCCATTTTTTGATTGAGTTAACTGGCTCTTTCTTTTTACTTATAAATATGTTATACATATCCTTACAACCTTTATCATGTTTATAAAATACAAAAATGGAATTTGGAAGATGTGGTCCAATCAACTTAGCATTTTTAATTTCATCACAGTTTATATTTTTCAGTCTATCTAACACTGCTATTCTAAGACCATTATAATCAACAAAATTTGTTTTCACTTTCAAGTTTATTAATGAGTCGAGACTTATGAAACTACCCTCATTGTTAAAGAGGTCAGTAAGAAAAACAATGCCTTCATTAAAATAGTTTTTCCAAAAAAAAGATTTATTATTAATTTTAATCCTTGGATTATTCTATATATGTTCAAAGAGCACATGCCTGTCCTTTTCTTGATTTATTATAGTTAGCCTTGCCCAGCTTGACAGAACTTCTTTCCAAAAAACATTATTTAATCTTGTTGAGAGATTCAGAATATAATCAGAACCCCTTATCCAAAGATTGTTTATATCTAAAAAAAATTTTACCCAGTTTGCTTGTGAGTGAATAAGTCTTCTAATCCAACTTGATTTAAGGGCAGAAATGAATTCTGTATAATCAATCATTTTTAGACCTCCATATTTATAGTCCTGGATTATAACATTTTTCTTTACCTTGTGAGTTTTGCTACCCCAAAGAAAATAATACATTTCAGTCTCAAACATCTTCAAAAAGTCTGACTTAGGGTTTGGTAAAGTAAGAATTAAATGGTTTAATTTGGGTAATAATAAAGTTTTAATTACTGTTAACCTTCCAATTGGGGTAAGTTTCCATAAACTCCAATTACGTAACAAAGTTTTGATTTCATTTAGCTTTATGGAATAATTAAGATCAAGCATTTCATTCAAGTTTACTGAAAATTTTATTCCTAGAAGATCAAATATTGAATTTTCCCAGTCAAGCTTCCACCTTGAGTGATGAAATACATCCCTTGAAAATTTTTTACTTCCAATCCATATCATTTTAGTTTTTAAGAAATTTATCTTTAAGCCTGATATATTACCAAAATAATCTAATTCTCGGAGAATACCATCCATAGATCTTGGTGAACCATCTGAGATAAGAGAAGTATCATCAGCATATTGAGAGAGTTTATACTCTTCACCCTCAATTGTTATACCTTTTATATCTTGATTATTACGAATTAAGATTCCAAGAATTTCAGCACATAACAAAAAGAGATAAGGTGAGATCGGATCACCTTGTCTGCATCCTCGTTGGGGGAAAAGATAGTCTGAAGTAAATCCATTTTGTATAACACATGATTTAATACCATTATAGAAGGTTCTAATTCAATTTTTAAAAGAGGGTCCAAAATTAAAAAAGTCAAGGGTTTGATATATAAAGTTCCATGAGATTGTATCAAAAGCCTTTTCAAAGTCAATTAACATCAAAAGGCCAGGTATTTGATTATATTCTGTATAATGCATTATATCATATATCAGTCTAATATTCTCTCCAATAAATCTACCTTTTATAAATCCAGTTTGGTCTCTATTTATCAATTTGCCCAATTTAGTTTTCATTCGTTCTGCGATGCATCCTGATGCTATTTTATAAACAACATTTAAAAGACTAATGGGTCGCCAGTTTTTCAGAAATTGTTTTGGCTTTCCTCTTTTTGGGATACAAGTAATGATTCCTAATTTATTTGAGTCTGAGAATTGAAGTTTTTCATTTGAATTATTTATTGCTCTTGTAATAAAGGAGCCAATATCTTTCCAGAAAAATTTAAAAAATTCACATGTAAATCCATCCGGTCCTGGACTTTTGTCATTTTTCAT